TGACGTGATATTTTCGATCGTTCAATTTTCTTTTAATGTAACAAAACAAAGATAAAATAAAATAAAATAAAAATAAATATCATCCGAGTTCCTGAATCGAAACAAGGAGGAAAAATATTTTCCCTTTAATTATGGTAAAAACTGGAGCAGGAAATGACACGCAGACCTACGCAGCATTCTTATTATAGCCTTGCAGGAGGTGCTTAAATGCGTTTCTCGCCAACTGAACGACTGCAGTGCGTTTGGCGCAATGCGAGAAGTATTCATGCAGTCTGGTAGGCGCTAATATTGTCCGTAAGTTGACTGCACTGTTTGGCGCAATGCGCGAAGTATTCCGGAAGTCTTGCAGGCGCTAATGTATATTAGCGCGTGCACGCCGCGCGCCGACCGCACTCTGTTTGGCGCGATTACTTGAACTCACCTTAGAATAATCGCGGCATCGAATAATAGAGCTTGAAAGGCCCATGTTGTGTTTCGACGCCGTATGAGCATTCCAACGTTGCCTCGTTTCTCCCGATTAAATATTTGTTCCGAGGAAAATTAGGAAAGTTCTTTTAACCCACGACCATTATTCAATCTTCTCACCTCATTTATCATTAGATTAGAAGGTAAGATTCTGATGACTTGTCAACAAACTAACCCAAACTAGCGTTGACTTAAATATGCGTTTATTTTCCAGCTGTTTCCTACGTTGCCAAACTTGTACCGTAAATAAAGTATTCATTTTAAATACGTGCATTTCTGTAGCAGATGTTAAGGTTTCAATTCGCACAATCCTAGTGCCTTTTTCGCGCGATCCTCGTGCCTTTTTTGCGCAATCTACGTATTTTTTCTAAGACCTTTCGCGCAATCCTGGATTACTGTTGAATTCGGAGGAGAATTCTGAAATTTCCTCCTTAGCGCGCAAATTTTCCACCTTGTAACACGCTTTTTAAAACTTTCCGCGTCCGCGAGCAATTTTTTTTATGATGGCCAGCTATCAGTATTACTCAGAAAGAGACGCAAGAAAATCTAATCTAAGTAAACAAACAATTTGGGTAATCCTTAAAAACTTTCCTCAAGTACGCTCTCAGTTAATTGAAAGCTTTTGTTTTTGCAAAAGAAATATTTACGGAGGATTCAAATGCTTAAAAACGATTGAAAGCATACGCAGGAAAAAGGTTTGTGAGATTGTTTGTTTATTTAAGTCAGCTTTTTGTACAACCTCATTCGGGTGAAATGGTCGCCGGCGACCAAAAAAACTGCCCACGCTCTCAGGAAATTTGAAAAAGCGTAGTACAAACTACATAAATTGCACACTAAATAGTGGATTTCAGTCATATTTATTGTGCTAATGGTGATTTGTATGTGATTTTATCCGAGGAAAAACTATTCATTCGACCGTATCTCTTGCGAGCAGCATGCAGACCCTTCAGACCATATTTTGTAGAAGGAACCAATACTTTGGCTTAGTGTAGATACGCCTTGTTCAACACTATACATTTTCCACGTGGTGCATTTATTTATACTTTCTCCAGTGACCTATGGTGACCGTTAGGGAGTTGGGTCGCATGCCGGCAATGGGTGCTATTCATGTGAGAAAATACACACTCCTGCAACAGTCACCATTATCGATATTATTTAATACACCTCATATGGAGGTCACACTGCGCGCACTATTCAGGAAGTTAATTTTTCGGTATATTAACCAAGAAAACGCGGCAGATTAGCTTCCGGGTGGAGGAGAAGTTCAAGGTGTTCCGAGGAACCTCTTCAAAACGCCCTTAATGCAGAATAATGTTCCAGACTCGCGAGCGTCAGGAGCTCGTTTAATACTTTCTAGCTGACTGACTTAAAGCGGAACTAATAACTAAACTCATTCCGAAAGAAACGCCGGGAGATCGATATGCAACGATAAGAACATTCTGCAATATTGCAGAAACCAAGTTGTAGAGCACTTTTCTTCCGGGAGACAAATATTGGCGGGATTGGAGTCTTTGCGACCGTCTAAAGGGAGAGGCATTTTATAGCCAAAAACGCTACAATAAAGCTGTTACATAATCTATAAATAGGTGTTTCTGATGTATATTTCAGCAGGAACGCGTATATATCGTAATAACTAAACTCATTCCGAAAGAAACGCCGGGAGATCAATATGCAACGATAAGAACATTCTGCAATATTGCAGAAACCAAGTTGTAGAGCACTTTTCTTCCGGGAGACAAATATTGGCGGGATTGGAGTCTTTGTGACCGTCTACGGGGAGAGGCATTTCATACCCAAAAACGCTACAATAAAGCTGTTACATAATCTATAAATAGGTGTTTCTGATGTATATTTTAGCCGAAACGCGTAATCGAGATTGAAAAAACTGAAAAAGGTCTTTTGAGCTGGAAATCAGGCCCAAGTCATGGTACCTATTAAAAGTAAATCTAGTTACAGCCGTCTCTTTTAAGGACTATCTCCCTTCGATAGCTGCACAAATTATAAAAATCGTGGATCTTTAGAAGAAATCGTGATAAGAAATGAACATATGTATGTAATCTGTTTAAATGGGAAAATTCATAATCGTATCAAGTAATGTAAAAACAACGTGGGTCCCATTTCCAGAATCCGAATAGAACGGGCCTATTCAGGGACTACGTATCACCTGTCGACAGCCGCAAAAATCATGGAAATCAGCCTAATGGAATGGTAGAGTGCCCTATTAAAAATAATAAAAATTTAGGAGATCAAAAAGCTCATAGTAAATATTTGAGGGGCTTGGAGGACAAGGCGCATAAGTGCAGTTTTTGAAAAAATAGAGATGTTAATGTTTTTAAGTAAAGCTAGTCTTAATGCATATTCTGTGACAGATCTGCTCTCAAATTCCAATTTTGAACCATCACAAAGTCAGTTTGAACTTTCTCTCCGCCACAAGAATCCATCTAATTTCGAAACTTCAAACAAATATATCTCGATATTGCAAAAACTGCACTGATGCGCCTTGTCCTACAAGCCCCTCATTTGTAGTAATGATAGCCCGTAGTTAAAGCTTTCAGGGCTGGAGCTTTTTTTAGTGCAAAAAAAGGACAGACGAGGATGCCGGAACTTTGGAGGTTCATGTGTGGGCTGATTTAACAAGAGGGTGAATTCATAGCAAATGAGCCACAAGAGATGGTGCATTCCTCTTGGAAGTATGCTTGAAGAGGGGGAAAGAGATGAGCATTTCAATTCAACTAATGGAAGGAAGCCTTAATGTTGACTTCGACGGAAGGAGTTTGGACGGTCGATCTCGTCATGATCCTTTGTTCTCGGGATCCAGTTAGTCCTGTTTAACGTTTCCGCTAAAACTGTTCCTTGCCCTTTGCTCTCGCTTGTAATTTCTAATCAATCGGGTACTTGTATGGCTTCACTGTTCTGCTTTGTTCGCGAACAATCATCTTAAAAAAACAGGCAACTGAAAACTCTCGAACCCTCAAAGTTGCTCTTTCTGTTCATTGAATTTACAGAGCTCTTGTAAATTTAAAAAATTAAAATAATCAGTATGTACGGTACACTGCCGTGCTGAGGAAGAACGCCGAATGAACATTCGAGAGTTGCCAAATTTCCCCGAGTAAGACAAGTATATTTAAGGAAATTTATGCGTATTTTTCCTTGAAATTTTCAGATATTTTAAACTAAATTGCGAAAAAAATTGTCTGAAAAATTGGAGAAAAAATATTCAGTGTCTCCCCAGGTGATTCGTTTTTTATTGAAAGAAATATGGCAACGCCTAAATGCTCATACGACGTTCTTCCTTAGCGCGGCAGTACAGTAAAGTGCCCATTTGTATGTGAAGAAAGCAGAGACGGAGTAATGTAGTGGGTATGTTGCATACACGAGACACATATGAATGAATTTACTTTAGAGAGGTAAAAATTGCTCGAAAATTACGATGAGCACATCAGAAAAGTCAGGATTTCCCCTCTCAACTCAAAATTTGCCCTCTACAGCCGTGGACACGTTTAATCACTCGTCGGGTATTAGGTTCATGCACAAAGCGATGAAAGAAAACCATACCCAAGTACGCAAAAAATATCGAAAACTGTTATCAATCTTTATTTTCGAGAGCGATTTCTATAGCTGTTAATACCGTAGAGTATACAAATTTGTCTGTTTGTCTTGTATGAAACAGACCCATCATTGATGTAGAAATGTGGATACGTTGAGAGCAACGGTAAATTCGGCAAATGTTTATAGAAGTACGGTAATACTGTCATGCAATGAAAACCCGTCGTATGAAATTATCAAATCCGCTGTATTAAACTGGAAATTATACTCTCTGATAATTTTTCAGGAAAATATGCTCAAGTTTTCAACAAAATTTGTACAATCTTGATGTTTATACGGCGTTTCTCCTTAGCTCAACGGAATGGATGACATTAGTAGCGGTGCAAACCTTTGGATACAACTATTCGTGCTCTATGGATGTGCGTGTTGCCTACACAAAAATTGAAGGCGATTTCGTTGACCTGTCGCGTCGGTCGCGGTCGGGCGCTCTTGGCAGCTCAGCGTCTGATGATAGGATAATGGAGATACTGCTGTGCTAAGGAGGAACGGTGCATGAAAATTCCTACGTTGCCAAATTTCTTTCGTTAAAACGTCCTATTTTATGGAAAGCTATGAATCTTACCAGCAAAAATTTTCTGGTTTGCTAAATTAAATTACGAAGGAAATGATCAGCAAATTAGGAAAAACATGCACAAGTTTTCAATGAAACTTTGAAACCTATCCCAAGATATTCGAAAAATTCTACATGTTTTTTCTCAGTATGGTTGTCAGAAAATACCGAGTTCTTTTTCATCAGCCCGTATTCAATACGATTTTACGCTATAAGCAAGACTCGTCCTTCAGTCTCATGGTACCGCACGGCTTGCATTGCTATTATGTCATTAAGCGTCGTTTTTTTAGCTATGGTCCATTGAGAAACTAGTAGAGGATTATAATGGAATAACTTTATGTATTGGTTCTAAAAACGCATCATATTTGTTTGTTCGCAGGAGCTTGGCCGAGCATATTCGAAGGAGGCAAAAGGGATTTAAACATGCTATAATAAGGTAAGGTAATAACATAATAATTGTTGGCTTATAGCTCATTGCATTGAAATACCACTTAAAAAGAGAAATAAATAGTCCGTCGAGATATTAGCCCGACAAAGCTTAAGCCCTAGGTGACAAAGCAGGTTTTTTTGACGCGGGAAAAATCCCTCTTACCTTTATGAAGATTATGTCATGCCCTGTCCTGTCCTGTCAATATAATCGCGTTATCACGGAACGTTCATTCTTGGATGAAATGTAAATTAGAGATATGATTTAGTTCGGAGAAGATCTAAACTAGAGAGCATCTGATTTTAAAAAGAGAATTTCTATGTTATTTTATATAGAATATTTTGGTTGTTGCGATGAAATTAGCTTACATGTGCTTAGTTTTTAATCCATGGTAAATACCAGATTACCCTCGTGCCGGCGTTTTAAGCGCTCTGTTTTGATAATAAAGTTCTCTCTGACACTTTTACGACATTGACGTTACAAGTAAACGTATATTTTTCTGAAATATCGAGGTATGTTCTCCAGCGGGTCGATCATCGAAATTGATAGACAAAGCTATAGAAAAGAAGACATAAGGGATATGGAGGGATCCTGTTGGTGCAAAAGGATGTTGCAATGGACAAAGGAGGTGAGTAATAGACTAACAAGCGGCAACCGCCAAGAGACCCTACAGTTAGTCCATAATTTTCTCCCTTAGTATAAGAACCAATAGTTTCAACCAATAGGATTGCTCCATATGCCTTGTGTCTTCTTTGTCTGTAGCTTTGTCTATGAATTTCAATAATCAGTCCGCAGGCAAAATAGAATCAGAAAACACGATTTGTTGAAAAAGGATCTCTCTCAAGATATGCTTTTCCTCCGGTGAGGTCTTGAATTGACCTGCTTGAGTCTTTTTTGGAATACCGGAGAAGAGCTTGCTTCGAAAATTTCATTTCAAAATTACAAGCGGATGCTCGCTTGTGAGTCTTTCAGAAAAATGAAATAAATTAAATATTTCAACGTCAGGCTTTTGGTAATTCCCGAGCAGTATCCAAGCTCAGATTATGATGCTTCTTCAGTATTTCGGTTCACCCTTAATATCTTTCTTCTGAGCTTTTCTTTGACAATGGAAATATTCCACCTTCGCGCAAAATCTGGTGCCTTTTAATCCTATTGTTATGCTTGCTTGAAAATTTAATTTTGAATAGAAATGCAACTTCGTTCATTGCGCTTTAATTTGAAGTATTCTTCCGACTGCGGCTGTTCCGTCAGGTTGTTGCAACCCACGATTTTTCAAAGGTCGCAACCATCGCGGCGAGGAATATTTGTAAGCATATTATTCGATGAAGTGTTTCATAAACTAGGAATGCAGTGAGTTTGATTTAATTTTCTTTTCCTCTGGGCTCTTTGGTAGCACGGAAACGAAGGTTGCAAAAAGTTGAAGCGATTAAAATTACAGCGAAAAAGAGCGCTGCTTCTTTTAATTTCAAAATTCACTCTATTTTTTAAAGTTTTTTAAAGAAGTTAGTAATAACGAAAGAAAAGATTTTGGGAGTGAACGGGAAAAAATTCACTTTTACTCCCACTTTTCTAGAGGCGATTAACTTGATTAACTTGAAAGTAATGATAAAAAAGTGACTCGTTTTTAGCAGGGGATCAGATGGTATAAGCAGAATGCGCATGGGGAAAAGAAATAAAAGTCGTTTGGTAGGAGTAACAGACGTGACACAGTTCGAAGGGGGAGGGGAAGGGAGGGCAAAGGAATAAAATGCGTTAATCGTCATTAATTTCACCGTTTCGACGGAGCAGACATTTAGATAGCCTACTAAGGAATTTGACATTATTTAAGCATGTTGCGTCATGGTGTCTGGTAGGATAAAACCAAAAATTTTGAATTTCTTAGACTACTTTTCTCAATTGTTGCTAACTTCGTCTGTTTTGAAAGTTTATTTTCCAAACCAAAAAATGAATGACAGCTTATCTTAAAAATTTCTTTGAGTTTTCTTCACTCGATTGATGATATTGATCTATTTTAATGACTGGAATATAATTTCCTTAATTAGAATGAAGCTTCCTCACCCAGGCTGCGCAAAATCGATCATGGCGCGTCATGCAACTATTGCGGCACTGAGGTGTTGCACAGTATCAGATTAAATTGAAGGCGTACTGTCTGGCGTGAACTAACGAGCAGTTTTCAACAGTGCGATTGCGAGATCCTAAAAAAAGTATCACTCTGTTCTTTTCAACATATTTTCCCTTCGCAAATTTATGAATGAAAGAGTCCTTCTAAAAATGAGTGGTATAACATGATTCAACCATGTATTACATCTCACCTGTGCACTTAGCGCGAGAAATTAGTCTCGATCAACGTTTAGTGTGCGACTTAATTCGAGTAAATTTTTGTTTTTCTATGAGTGAGTCGTGTGAATTTATGTACGGAAAAACATTGATATATTCATTAGAAGTTAATTTCTGCAATTTGTGTTGTAGAAATGTTGTTCTACGTGCAATTTTCAACTGTAAATATTTTACAATTCTTTAAAGTACACCTTATCTAGCTGTCCACTGAGACTTGCAATTTTGGCTTAATATTCTTAAAACTACGAGGGAGAATTTAGGGTCGAAAATTGAATATTGATATTTTTTACCTCAAACCTCAAACCTACATTTTCGCTAAACTGAAACATTTGAGTTTCCACCTTGGGGCACATTTTCCCTAACACAATCATAATTATTCAACGCATTTCAATTTTCAGTGCGCTGTAAAAAGTGTCCTCTCTCCAGCTACCGCATATCAGAGGCATCTCATCAAAAAGTGTTTTGTGGGTGTTGTCATTTTCTTACGTCAAGTTTTAAACAAATTAAATTATTGCACAGCTACGGTACTTAGGACTCGCGAGAGGTGTCGTAAAACCGATGTCGCGGTTTTCAAGGAAAACAACGTGAAAATTATTCAATATACATGGTATCGATCGCTAACGGCCCATAAAAGAAAGACGTAAACAGACAGGGCGGAGGCTATATGAAGGATGAACTTTCCTGTCACAAAGTTTCGCTTGCCAGTTGAGGCGGGCCTTAAAAACCTCCCGCTACGAGCAACTAATGCACCCGCACATAAAAGTGCTTTTCATAAGTTTTCCTTTGTCTCTCAAATCGATGTCCCGGCAACATAAGGGAAAGCTCGACAATATTGCGTCATAAAGTTATAGTTTTGCGGCTGGTGGGCTCCTCTCGCTCTTCAGTCGGTGTAAAAGGCCCAGAAGCACTTTTCTAGTAGATTTTAATTAATTTATTCCTTATATCAGGGAGGAGCTCAAGGGATACTCGCTTCAATTCCACATGTCCATACTGCCGTGCTTAGGAAAAACGCCGTATGAACCTTCAAGCGTTGCCAAATTTCCATTGATAAAACAAGAATTTGCTGGGAAACTTATGAATATTTTTCTTCCAATCCTCCAGATAAAATTGTTTGCAATTTCGCCTAAAGTTCCTGAAAATTTCAAGGAAAAAATTCGTAACTTTCCTCAATAATAAACACTTTATTAAAGGAAATTGGGCAACTCTTGAATGCTCATACGGCGTTCTTCCTTAGCACGGCAGCATAAAGATAAAACATTTTAGAGATCCGATACTAACATGAAAGTAATTTCGGGTGAGGCAAAAGTTGAGTTCGGAGGTCGATAGTATTTTTTGTCTATTGATGCTTGATGAGCAACTGGTTGAACATAAAATTTGCAAAATGATGATTAATGAATTAAGTTGAGCACTTTGCTAGGCGAGCTTTTGCAAATTCGATTAGGTTTGCCAGACCAATTGATCAACGCTTTGGGCATCAGTCATTGTTAGGCGAACTTGAAAGTTGAGTTTTGAAAGGAACTTTTGCATGCTTGTGAGCTTGTAGTGTGAAATTTCTAAAATATATTATCTCTGTTTGTGCAAGATAAAGAATATCAATCTTCGTGCAGGTTAATACCATGCGAATGATATCTATTCGCAGGATAGTATTGGTATAGAGTGAACTAAATTTCACAAAAAGGAACGAATAAAGTATCAGTGCTGCTAAGATTATGCAATTTTTCTTTTATTAAGCCTGTCGAGGAATTCGAAACTTTAAAAGATCGTTTTTAGTACACAAAGTATATTTTAATTAAATCAGGAAATTGCTTTGAGAAAATTGAATATATTTTTTCAAAATTCAATTGATCTGCTCCCAGTTGATTCGTTGTGAGCGAGGAAGTTACACAATCTTCGCAACATTGCGACGCTGTCAGTTCCTCTTTGCAATATTCAGTCACACTGGCAACAGCCCTCTTTTAACGGTGAGTCGCATCATAAAAGTCCGAGCTTATTTATACATTAATGGCGAAACGAGAAAGCCCTATATCTTGGTTCGCGACGTTGCAGTTTCCGCGTCCTGTTCTATTTTTTGACGATAAAAAAATTCGTGAAGTAATTCCGAAAGTTTTTCCTCTCGGTGAGGAATATTTAAATGTGTCACCTTGAGTGATCATCATTTTCAAAAAAGAAGACAAACATACTGAGCTTCTGTGCGACAATTTGGGTCTCAATCCACGAGCCGTTTATAAAGGTGGCCAGAGAAAGTTGAAAATCGCAAACTTTTTTTTGAGTGTGACAACGCCTGAAGGTTCCTACGAGGCTTTACCTTAGCACGGCAAGTTCGGAGCGTTTCATTTCAATTGGCGAGTTTTAGGAATTAACCGCGTGTACAGAGCAGGTTCGCCGTTCCCTGAGGGAGGGCAACTCGGCGTTGAGAAGGAGCGAGCGGCATGCGGTATGCGGCGAGCAGTGAGGTGTGTCGCGCACGAAATCCGAGCGGAACTCATTTTGAATTATTACACCGTGGAGAGTTCTCTTCCCACGATTGGATCCCATTTAAATTTTTTTTTTTTTTATTCTATCGAGAAGAATCAGAGAAGCTGAATTACACCGTGTGCTCTCGGAGAGGGCGAGGGATGTTTAAGACGGGGTCGGAAAGTGATCCCTCTTTAGGGCTGAGATATGTAAGCTAA